GCCCGGCTCAAACATACTTTTAAGGGCACCAGATGCAGCTGTACAATTGAAGTACATCAACTCACTTGCCACGATGCAGCTTAAGTGCCCCTTGTCACTCACTGACAGGGTTTTGATATGAATCTGCAAACAACTGATTTATTATGGTCTCTGTGCAGTCAAACCTCTCTGCTGATGCTTTTCTGTATTTGCAGCTGCTCCTCAGTGCTAGCATCACTGCCTCGGCTCCACCTCAGCTCATCGGGCATTAGATTCTCATAAGGAGTGCTGTAACCTAGATCCCTCACATGCATAATTCACAGTAGGGTTCATGATCTTATGAGTATCTAATGCTGCCACTGATCTGCCCGGAGGCAGAGCTCAGGCTGTAATGTGAGCCATGAGGAGCGACTGTAAATTCATATGAAGCTTCCCTCTCTTGTCCACCCCTCACCTCCCACTGTGCAGCCCGGTTCCTAACAGGCCATGAACTGGTACCAGTCTGTGGCTCAGGGGTTGGGGACCCCTGCCCTAGGAGGGCGTGCGGAACTCGCTGGTTGAGCTGATCATTGAGTCCTAATGACCATTCTGAAAGAGAGGTTTCATGATCCCACTGTCCAGTTGAGGAAGCACATTCTGGGATGGGAGAGCACCCACTTAGTGAAGTGCCTGAGCTGGGACCACAGATCACGTTGTCCTTCAGAGCTGTCCCACTCTGGGAAAATCTGGGGCACACAGAAGAGATGGGAGGTGCAGGGAGTTGGGGGAAATAGACTTCGCTCATGATAATCACATAGCATTCTGCAGGGGACAGACAGGAAACTGCCAGCAGCCATTTTGCGATTAACTCAAGATAGTTACAAGGCCCCCAGTGTTGTGATGAGGGCTGGTGATAAAGACATCAGGCTCCTCTCGACTGTAATCCCAGCACTTTGGGAGGCCAAGGCGAACGGATCATGAGGTCAGATCAAGACCATCCGGGCTAACACAGTGAAACCCCATCTCTACTAAAAATAAGAAAAATTAGGCCGGGCGCGGTGGCTCAAGCCTGTAATCCCAGCACTGTGGGAGGCCGAGGCGGGTGGATCACGAGGTCAAGAGATCGAGACCATCCTGGTCAA